AAGAGAATATCAAATATGAGAAAGTAACAAGAGACTATAATATCTGCAAAAAGAACCTCTGAATATGAGAAACAGATTAAAGGATAAAATTATTAACCATCACAATACATATAAGACTTTTATTATAAAGCTATTAAGACATTTAAGAAGGTCAGTATAAACGAGGAGACACCATAAAATCATAGATGGAAAAACTTTATATTGTAAACATGTCAATTTTTCCTATATTGATCAATAAAGTCAGTGAAATTCCAATAAAAATGCCAGCAAGGTTTTTCCTTGAATGTGACCAAGTTAATTCTAAAATGTATTTGGAAGAAAAAAGGTCAAAAACAGCAAACACACCCTGAAGAACAACAAATCAGAGGGCTGGCCACACCAGATAATAGTGTTATAAAAGGTACAGTAGGGCCGGCCCAGTGGCACAAGTGGTTAAGTGCGCGCACTCCGCTGTGGGGGCCCGGGGTCCCCCGGGCGCACCAACGTACTGCTTGGCAAGCCATGCTGTGGCAGTGTCCCATATAAAGTGGAGGAAGATGGGCACGAATGTTAGCCCAGGGCCAGTCTTCCTCAGAAAAAAAAAAAAAAAAAAAAGGATTGGCAGATGTTAGCACAGGGCTGATCTCCTCACACACACAAAAAAGGTACAGTAATTAAGACAGCATGACAACTGGCACAGGGTTGTCTAACTAAAAGAACAGTGTACAGATCAGAAATACATGAAAGTCTGATATATGAGAGGCAGCAGTGCAGTCTGGAGGGAAAGAACGGGCTGATTCAGTTTTCCTGACTCCAATCATTCTCCGTATTGCCACCTGAATGAGCTTTTCAAAACACAGAACTGGTTGTGTTAATTCTCCACCAAATGTATTCAATAACACCCTCCTCCTATCTACTATAGATTTCTCTCATATGTACATTAATAGGTATTTCAGTGGTTACATAAGTTGGAGAAATGCTGGACTAAACGAAGTTCAATAGGATTTTTTACAGCAAGACTTCTCAAAGACGTTGATATTCTAATAAGGACTGTGAACCTCTAAATGCAGGATAGCACATCTGGCTAATATCCCCAAACTTGTCAGGCCAAGGCATTTTTTTTAAATAGCACCTTGATGAACTAGTGTTTCTTGGAACATACACTGGGAATCAAAATAGATATTTCCTTAACTGACTTCGCACAAGGCAATGTGAGAGGCAGATTGGGTGCCATCATTTAGAATAGGGAAGATCCACAGGGTCCTGGCTTCTCTACATTCCAGCTAGTCACTTTGGTCCAGTTACTTAATCTCTTTGTGATTCAGTTTCCATATTTGTAAAATGGGAATAACAAATGATATAAAAGTATAACATTTTATATATTTAATAATGCGTATCATGGGATTGCTGAGAGGATTAAATGAGCCACCAATAACAAAATTTATATATTTTTTCATGCTTCTCCCTACCCCTTAAAACTGGAGATGTAGGGCCGGCCCCATGGCTTAGCGGTTAAGTGCATGCGCTCCGCTGCTGGCGGCCCCGGTTTGGATCCCCGGCGCGCACCGACGCACCGCTTCTCCGGCCATGCTGAGGCTGCGTCCCACATACAGCAACTAGAAGGATGTGCAGCTATGACATACAACTATCTACTGGGGCTTTGGGGGAAAAAATACATAAATAAATAAAATTATTAAAAAAACAAAACAAAACTGGAGATGTAGTTAGAATAGATTTATTCATAAAGTCCCAAGACTTATTGATGCTTTTACTACTGTCTAGAACGACCTGCCCCACTTCCTATACACCTACTCCTATTTTTAAAGCCAAGCTCAAAAGAAAACCTCTTTGGAGAAGTTTCCTTAACCCAAACCCTGAAAAGAGAATTCATGCTTTTTCCATTTTGTGTCCATAGCACTTTTTCCATCACACAATTACAGCTGTCATTATATTATACCACAAGTTATTAGCTTCCTGTTTTTCATGTTAGAATGTTAAGTCAGGAGTGTGCGGCATGTTTAATCCATACATTTTTGAATGAGTTGGGGATTTTAAAAGTAATTTTAAGAATTAAAAGAGAGAACAATTTATTTATTTTTTTAATTTTTTTCTTTCTTTCTTTCTTTTTCCCCAAAGCCCCAGTAGACAGTTGTATGTCACAGTTGCACATCCTTCCAGCTGCTGCATGTGGGACGCGGCCTCAGCATGGCCGGAGAAGCGGTGCGTCGGTGCGCGTCTGGGATCCGAACCCAGGCCGCCAGCAGGGGAGCGCGGGCACCCAACCGCTAAGCCATGGGGCCAGCCCAAAAGAGAGAACAATTTAAAAGGCAAGTTGGATTCAAAGGAAATAATGAAAGACAAGAATAAAGGTACTGAGAGTTTAATATGTGCCAAGGGCAAGTTTTATATTTTTTATTTGAAAACAATTTTGATTCCTGATCCCAACCTACTGAAAAATAAGGAAAAATCTATTGAAGAATTCACTGCATCTATAATACTTTGCAAATAAACTCCAGGCTTCTCTTGCAGATCTTGAAACAAATTTGCTTATAATTTGACTTCCACAGTTGTAGTATAAAATACAGGTAAAATTAAAAGCAAACAAAAAAAACAGGAGGCTATTGCATCTGTTTACAATCAATAGCCTTAATAGCACAAACTGAGAGGAAAAGTGCTTAGACCCAAATTGGCAATAAATATGAAAAATGGCTTAATCTGGCTGGCAACAAAAGATTTTAAGGAAAAAAAATAACATTAATCAAATCAAGAAATAACATAAAAAACACTGATCAATGCTAGAGAGAGTGCTTTATTAAGACAGATACTCTGTCAGTGAGAGTGTAAATTGGTATCATGTTTTTGGGAATGCAATTTGCATGTAAAGCTTTAAAAGCCAATTTTAGAAATCAGTCGTAATGAAATATGATGAAATACATAGATGTTCACTGTTATTTGTAATAGAGATAAACTGGGAAAAAGCCACTAAATATACATACAGTAAGGGATGACAAACTAAATTAAAGTTTATCTCTATGAAACCACTTAAAAGGCTATATATTCAGTTCTTATTAACATGGGTAAATGTTTAAATTATAGTTTCACAAGGACACAGTCCTTACCTTGCTTGTTTTTATTGTTTTATCCTCAGGGCATAGAATAATGCCTAAGCACATATATATTTTTTAATTAAAAAGTCTTTTTTATTAAGACTATTTTTTTAAAGTAGTTTTACATTCACAGCAAAATTGAGGGAAAGGTACAGAGATTTCCCATATACTTCCTGAGCCCACACAGGCACAGCCTTCCCCATTATCAATGTCCCTTACCAGAGTGGTATATGTGTTACACTTGATTGACACCTACATTGATTGAAACTACATTGACACCCAAACCTATATAATCACCCAAAATCCACAGTTTACATTAGGGTTCACTCTTGGTGTTGTACATTTTATGGGTTTGGACAAATGTATAATGATAATGTAGTCATCATTATAATAAGATAGAATAGTTTCACTGCCCTAAAAATCCTCTGTGCTCCACCTATTCATTCCTCCCCCCCCAATCCCTGATCTTTTTACTGTCTCCATAGTTTCGCTTTTTCCAGAATGTCATATAGTTGGAATCATACAGTATGTAGCCTTTCCAGATTGGCTTCTTTCATTTAGTAATATGCATTTAAAGTTCCCCTATGCCTTTTCATGGCTTGATAGCTCATTTCTTTTCAGTGTTGAATAATATTCCATTATCTACTTATACCACAGTTTATTCATCCATTCATCTACTGAAGGGCATCTTGGTTGCTTCCAAGTTTTGGCAATTATGAACAAAGCTGCTGTAAACATCTGTGTGCAGGTTTTTGTGTGGACATAAGTTTTCAACTCCTTTGGGTAATTACCAAGGAGCATGATTGCTGGATGTATGGGAAGAGCATGTTTAGTTTTTTAAGAAACTGGCAAACTAACTGTCTTCCAAAGTGGCTGTATCATTTTGCATTCCCACTATCAATTAGAGTTTATGTTGCTCCATATCGTCACCAGCATTTGGTGTTGTCAGTATTCTGCATTTTGGTCATTCTAACAGGTATGTAGTGCAAATAAATTTTAAATAAATATTTGCTAAATAAATGAAAAAATAATGTTAAGTGAAAAAACATAAAATTGTACAAAATGTGATTTCTGTGAAAAATCTGTACAGAAAAAGAAGTGGAACGACACACAACCAAATGGGAAAAGAGGTCATGGGCAATTTTAAAAAACAGCTTTATTGAGGTATAATTTTACATACCATAGAATTCTCCCATTGTATATGTACAGTTCCATTACTTCATGTATACAGTCATACAATTATCAACATAATACAGTACCACGGTCCATTTTTTTCTCATTTCATCTTTTCTGTATCATAAGGGAGGACTTATTCTTTGAAAGGCCCCTTCCCTGAAAGCTGGGTGGAGTTGAACTCTAAAATTACCTATAGAATTACTTTCTAGTCTAATGATCTGAGTCTCCCTCTTTAATTTGACACATGCATCCCGTTCCAGCACAAGATGGATTTCAAAAGCACCAGGAAAGTCCTAGACCGTCGTTACAAGTAAAACTTTAAGGACTGAGCAGGCACGATACAGCCCAGATTCTGTTTGGTGGACCACAGTGAGATCATTATTCTTGGTCCTTCTCCAAATAGAAAGGTCCCCCAGAAAACTGAGTACAGTCGCAGCTTCCACTGGAAATGTGGGTACTGAAGGGAACCGAACGTGACCAGTTCTCTTGTGCTCCTCAATCCCGCCAGCGGAGAGCAGAGGGCGCCAACTGCGGACGTCCCCAGCCCACCTGGGGAGTGCCGCTCCTGGCCCCAGGCTATGAGCACCGACATTCTGTGCCGCGCCCAGAGAAGGGCCTTCGGTGTCGTGTTCACTTAGCTGCCTACATCAGAGAGCCCTTCGAGAAGCTGACTTGGACAGGTTAGCACCTGAACCCCCCAGATCCCCAGCCGCCAGCGCCCCGCCCACCGCCTCCTACCTGCGGAGAAGCAGAGCAGGGACAGCCGGTGCCTCAGGCGGGCCAAGCCCAGCACAGTGGGGGCGAAGAACATGGCTTCATCGTCGGGGTGCGCGATCACCAGGAGGGTCCGGCTTCCGCCTCCCAGCAGGCTAGCCTGCTCCTGACTCTTCTTTCGTTCCGAGGAGTCCCAAACCCACAGGAAACCCCATGCTAGGACCGCCGCCGCCAAACACAAAAGACCCACCACTTCCATGCTCTGTAGGTGGCACTGCGCCTGCGCAATAGGGACGGCTGTCGCTGAGCCTGACTCCGGCGGGAAAACCGCACTCGCGGAAATTGCGTTCCGATTTTAAGTTCGTCCTGCCGACTTGCTCCAGTGGCTTGAGGCTTTAAACGTCGGGTTCGTGTTGTGGTTTTACAGGGACGCTTTCCAACACTTCTCGATCGAGTTCTCTCCACTTTATGCAGCGTTTACGAAGTCTTGTGCCTCTCGGTTTCAGAGCTGAACCGAGCCCCCTGCCGTCCAGTTTTTTACCCTTGTCCTCCTGTTTTACAGTACAAGGGGTTTTAAGGGAAGTGTTTTAAAATAAACCCCCACATCTTGTACGAGTTCCCTCCTCTCTTCGGTTCACCATTTTGTACTCATTTCTTAAAACCCGGGACTGTCTTGTAATTTTATGGTCATACACCTCCTTATCTAGATGATACACAAACTGTTTTTCTTTCTCAATTTTGGGACGTGGAGGGTGGCTTCTCTAAAGGGAAAGCATGCGGTTACGAGAAACCGTCCAGTCATTTCACTACGAGAGTAAGGCTGAGAGTGCACTTCGTAGTCGCGAGGGCCACAGGCTCCTCTGACAAGTGACTTGGGTTAAGGACCGACATCATGGACCAACAGGCTTCGCCCGGCATTTCAGTGGCGTCTCGGTGCGAATCACAGCCGGAGCCCCGGAAAATATCTTTGGTAGGTCGACGTGCGCCCCTCCGGCTCCCAGCACTTGGGGGCCCGGCTTCCCTCCCCGAAGCCCGGCCCGGGGAGGCCGGCGCCGGCCCGCCGCGCCGCGGAGGGGTCGCGGGGCCCGAGGCATGGCCTTGCGTCCTTCCCTTTCCCACGTCCCGGGAAGGCCCCGAGCGCGCAGGACCGGCCGGCTCGCGGCGGGCGCCCCAGGCCGGTGCGCGATGGCAGCGCGCTGGGTCCGGCCCGGCCCGGCGCTGCCCTGGCCCGTCTCGGTTTGAGGGGCCCGCCGCCGCCAGGCCGAGGGGAGACGTGAGGAGACCAGGCGCTAGGCGACCCAGGAAACTCGGCCGAGGTAGGGGCCACGCTCGGCCAGCGGAGGGAGTCGGTCTCCCAACTCTCCGGAAGGAGGAGGAGCCGGCGCCGGAGCCGCCTTAGCCGCGGCCGCCGGGGCTGAGGGGGAGGGAGAGGGGTTGAGTCAAGATGGCGGCCAAGGTGGCGAAGCAGCAGCGGCGGCGGCGGCGGCGGCTGCTGCAGTGAGCGCCCAGCTCTCCGCGCCGAGCGAGGTCCCGGGGTAGGGACGCGCGCCGGGGCCGCGTCCTGCTCCTCAGGCCCGGGGGCGCGCCGGCTACCACGCCCCGCCAGCTCCTGGTGAGTAGGCCCCGGCGCCCGCAGCCCCGGCCTCTGGGCCCCTGGTCGCCCGGGGGCTTCCGAGGGCTCTCAGGGTACCGGCCGCGGGGGCAGCTTCTCGGCCGGGCGAGAGGCGTCGCGGGCCCGGCAGGTCGGGACCCGCGCCAGCCGCCCGGCCTCTTCCCCTCGGCCACCCAGGGCGAGTCGGGCGCGGCGGGGAGCTGGGCTGGGCGAGTGGAGGAGGCTTATGGAGTTTGGGGGAAGAATGGGCTGCGGCCGGGCCGGGCCGGAGAGGTGTTCTGTAGGGAGGGGGCGTGCGGAGCCCCGAGGGCCGACTGAGGGAGGCGGGGAGGGCCTGGGGACCCCGGGCGGGGCCGGCACAGGTGGCGGGCCTGGGCTCACGCTGAGGCGGAGTTGGTGGCTGTCTTGGGAGTGTGGAAGGGGTTAGGGAGGGTGACAGCGATGGACAAGTGCGTGCAGAGCAAACTGGTTCACCTTTCTAACCTAACCGCCTCGGGGTGTAATGGCGAAGGGTGAGTAGTGGTGGAGATGGTCAAGATCGGAGCCGTGTGCCTCCTGCCTTCTGTTATTGGTGTTTGAATGTGCCAGGTCGGTGAATTCTCTTTTTTGGGGGAAGAGGGGTTTGAGAAACTATAATTGAGAAATCAGTCTTAATGGAGAGGAAACTGAATTCTTCGAATTAACTCTCGGATTAGGTATAGTCGTGCGGATAGGAATAAGTGATATTTATGAAAAATGTTTGCTCCGGAAGTGTCAGTTTTCTTTTACTGATGTAGCATGCCACAGTGCCACTTCAGTAGAGTTAACCTTGGAGAGTAGTGGTATGGGTAATTCTAATCTTTGGGATTAGTATATTTACCTGCTTCAGATTTGCTTCCCTAAGTATATTGAATTTACGTTCCTTGTGTGCACCCTGGTGAGCCTATGATGGGAGGCGGAACACTGAGTAAAGAGCAACAGGCCCGGGATTTAACAATGCCTACAAATATTCATTCATTCGTTCAACATATCTTGATTAATAGCTGCTGCTGCTGAGTCACGTGATTGTCCCTTGGATAAGTGAAGAGTTGATGGCATTATTTAATTTTTAATAGTTTTTTTGGAAAATGTTTTAATGTATCCCTTCATAAAGATACTAATTGGATGAACCAACTTACCTGGGCTCAGGAGCAGACGGATTTTCGAATCTTATTTGGACATGAGTAAAAATTACAGAAGAAATAACTTGTTGGAGAAACAAATATTGTCTTGATTTTCTCATTCTGTTAAAATCCAGTGGAAGTTTATTTATTTTAATATTTGTGGTACACAGTTGCTTTGCCTTGCTTTAAGAGCACCTATTAGTGGAAATCAAAGTTAACACACACGTTTATATATATATAAATGAAATGCACATACATACATACATGCGGATGTGATTACTTGCAATACCAAAATACTCTTTCCTTTTACAAAAGGCTCGCCATATGTTGAACTACTCCCTCAGAGAAAATATAATACAAAGAGTCCTGATTCTTTCTTTAACTATGTGTCATTTGGGAACATGATCAACCTTTCTGTCTCCTCTGTGATGGTAGGAAAACATCTGCTCTCCGAGGGTTAGCTGTTGTGAACCTAAGAAAGTTGAGTTATGAAATTACTTTAAACAGATTGAAAGGGTTATAATTCTGTGAGATAGTAACAGCTCCCTCTGCACTCCTGAAATGCTTTATCTACACATCTCTTGTGGCATTTACACTTTCTATCTTGTATTTAGGTATTGATGTACCTGTTTTATCTCCTCTCAAGGGCAGGATAGGCCTTTCTATGATTTTATCTTTATGTTTGAGGCAGCGTGTACGATTTTATTTTCTTTGTAGGATATTGACACTGCAAATGTTTGTTAAATGAATAAACATTGTATTCTAATTAGAAAAATGTATTCACCTTATAACTTAGCCGAGTACACCTGTTATCCGCTGTGACAAATCTATATAGTTGTGATTCTCTCCATGGCCTCTGAGGAGTAGGTATTTTTAACTGGATGTCTTCTTGGATTTAATCATATAGTAAAACTTAAGTATTTGGCGTGCTCATATAATTAAAAGAAAAAGCACAAAATGCTCAAAATCAACTTATGTTTCTTTGAATTTGAGTGAAAGTTTGTTCTAAGGCTAGGCAAATTGAGATTAGTCAAGTTTTTTTAGGCTTTTTTTTTTTTTTTTTTTGAATTTGTGAAGTGGTGAGATTGTCTTGCCATTGCTGTCTGCAGTAGAAAGCAAAAGCCTTTGAATAGGCCACAGATAGATGTAGGTAAATATGAGGCTGTTTGTTACTCAGTTTTTTGTGCATTTGTTTTGTTACTCAGTTTTCATTGTATTTTGTGATCTATCTTACTTGCAATTTCAAATTCTTATTGATACCTGGGAATGATAGAGGTCTCGCATGTTTAGTTACTTCCATCTGTTCTTTTACTTCAGATATTGGGTTTTACTAGAATCCAGTTGATCAGAATTATAATGTATGGACTTATTTGTTCACTAGACATTATGTGTAGTTCATTCACTTGTTCAGCTGGTATGAAGTGCCTGTTTATGTTCAGGGCACATTACTAAATGTATGAAGGTGTAAAGTTGAGCAGATCAATTATGTGCACAAATAACTCAGTTTATAGGTTGCCTGATATTTTGTCCTTTTCAGGTTTGAGGATGCAAAAGGTACATTTAGATAGATGGTTAAGAAAACATTTTGTTTGTTTCTTTTTCTGTTAGGACTTCTTAGGAATATTGAAAAGCTGTGAAAAGCTTCTGTCATGTAGCAATAACTCTATGTAAAGCATCTGTTGTTTATTTTGGTGTTCTTGTGGTGGTGGTTTTCCTTGAACAGTTTTACTCTTCTTCCACCATTTTTTCTACTCCAGAATCTTGTGTGGTCAAAATGTTACTTGGATAGTCTTCACATACAACATACTTTTTTTTTTTTTTCTCCTCTTTGCATTTCAACGTGAGACCATACAAAGCCATGTGAATGTTCCTGTTGAGTTCTTCAGTTTAATTCTTCCATGTGTGCTGCTTTTACTTTTACTTAAAAGTGATCTCAAAAACAAATCTAAATTGGTTAAAATGCTAGTAATTTATAGAATTATAGAATGTAAAGTCATATAGATTATCTAATCTTACTTGTTTTACTGATGAATAAACTGAGGGTCACAGAAGTAAAGTGATCTGCCTAAACTGTTGCAGTTGGGCAGTAGCAGAATCCAGTCTTCTGACATCCAGTGTAGTGCTCATTCCATTACACCATATCATCCGTGGGATGATTCAATGAGATGATTGACAATTACTTGAAAATTGGGGTGGATGGGGAATGCGAGATCCCTTATTCAGCTTGGGTATTGAATTCAAGGTACTTCTTAACTTTAAATTTCTACAATGAAAATGTAGTTTGAAAAAAATTAGTATTGATTTACATCAGTAATATGATGATCACTGGGAATTATTTAGTTTGCTTAATTTTTCATCGGCTATGATGAATATCTTCTTAATTTTTCATCGGCTATGATGAATATCTTCTTAAACAAAAATGTCTTTGCGGTTATCTGGAGCTAGAGACATTTCATGAGATTTAAGTTATTACAGTGATGGAAATTTTATTATGCCAATGGTTAGGTACCTCTGAGACCCAAACAGATAGGTTAAATTATTTTATAAATTAGCTATTGTTGGCTTCACTTACCTCAAACTTCTAGATTTTTTTTTTT